ACATTGTTCCACTGTGTTTGTTCAGGTTCTTCTAAGTAGTCCTTCCGTATTAGATTGTTCACTGGATTTTTGTTTTCTTTTTTTACACTGTCTGGGTATGAATCAAGCTCATCTTGTTGAAGAACATCTATTTGTGATTCTTTTTGCATATCTGAAGGTGGAATGTAATTCTTGGCAAAGTAGTCTCCACGAAACGTCCGTCTTCTCCTATAGCAGAATATTCCAGCCAAGACACTTACAAGTACTATGAAAAGAGCCCCACCCACTACACTAGCAATGATCGTGCCAATAGTGTCATCCTTAATTGTTGCCAGAGTTGACAATGGGAAGGGCAATTTTTTAGGTTCTGTTGCTAGATCCTCGATGTCAGCAGTTGAGAGATGCCACTGAACTGTAGGCTGAAGAGTGGTAGTAGTAGGAGGATCTAATGGAAACAAGTAAAGATAGACAAGACACAGAAAGGCAAAGAATGTCAATGCAGGCTGATTCAGCAGCAAGTTGAAAAGACAGCATAGTTAATATTTATACATGGTAATAATAGTTTTTCATTCTTAATTTGATTGAAGATTAGAATTTAGTGATATGAATGTGTGTGTGTAAGTAAATATATATTTTTAAAAACTGACAGTTACCAGTGAAGTTAAAAAGGAATAAAAAGTTACCTATGGTATAAACTCTAAATTATTCTATTCCAAGTTTGAATATGATATTTTATTCCAAGGAATACTTTTCTTAAATGACAAGTATTCTTTAAGTGTCCTACATCTATCTAGCTGGCTTAAGAATTATAGGGAAAAATCTAAATTAAAACAAGTAACTCAAAACGTACAAAACAAGTAACTCAAAACGTACATTTTCTTAGCCAGTAGCATAAGAAGAAAATGTGAAAGAATGAAGAAATTAAAGTGTTTCCCTAACACCCATCTTTACCTAATATAGTCTATTTCTGTAAGGTCTGAACTAATCTGTAAAAGAATGAAAAACTATAGATTCTTGTTAAGTGATCATAGTATAAGTTGCTGGTTTAATAATTCTCTCAAAAATATTTTCCTTAAATAAATATAAATTTTCAATTTTTAGAAAAGATATATGCGGTACATACAATTATTTAGTAATTTAAAAAATAAAGCTTATGTTCAAAACATTTTAGTCCAATAGAGTGCAATCGCATGAGACTAAGACAAAGATGAAGAAACACAAGTTATAAAGTAATATAGAAATGTCATCATCATGTCAATACCCAAACGGTTAAGATATCTTAACATTTAGGATATTGAAGAATATTAACCATATCTACAAAATTTAATGACACATTCCTTTAGGATGAAATCTCAAAAACAGTAGCTAATATTTTAGAGAGAACATTCTAATAATACTTAAATATTAGATGTAAATGATCCTGTTTACTGTCGTTAGATTACAGAGTAAATAGCCATTAATATTAAAAAAGCAATTAAATATAAATAGTAAAAATAAAGATTGGTTAATCATCAGGTGGTATTTTAGGTCATGTTATACAACTTCTAGTTTGAAGTAGAATGAGTTAAAATTTTGAATTTCTTCACTGAAGAAAAATAAATGACCCAAATGGTAATCTCCTATAATTAATACTTAAATGAGTAGTGTGGATAGAGCTTTTAAAAATGATTGTTAGAAAAATACTAAATCTACATGGGTAAGTTATTCTAAAATTACAAGCTATAGAAAAATACTTACTGAAACAGGTTTCATCACGGAATGCCGTATGTATAGAATGTGGTAAAAATTTAGCAAGTACAATGTAAAATTTAACAAGTACAGTATTACTAATTCCTTATAAGTGTAAACCAATATAGCAGGCAATCCATTCAAATATCGTGAAGGGAATATTACTTATCTTATTATATGTAAGTCAGTGAATCAAAGAGGTTTTAATTTGTGAGAAAATATCCACTAGCTGAAAAATTCAATCAGAAAAAAAGAAACAACTGGGGAAACTGTAGGATCATTTCCAGTATAAAAGTCATAAACCCTCACATAATGCAACAGCACAAAACCAGGATGTAAGAAATAAACTAAAAAATTAATCATTTATAACTCAAGCTTTCTCTGCAGAGGGGAGGTATAAAAGGAAAATCAAGTTTTAAATATGTCGTCTTTACAATGTTTCCCAAAAAAATTATTATTTTTAATTTGTCAGTGATTTTAGAAATTTTTAAACTACCGTTCCACTTCTCAACCAGCTAGTTAACTATCAATCTCATTATTATATCATTCTATGAGAGGTAACTGATAATAGTTATTCTGCAGTTCAAGTTGTGGACATAAAACAAAGTATGTAAGACATTTATTCATGCTTTCTAATTATCATGCTACTTCAAGACAATTATGAGAGATACAATTCTAGTAAGGATGTAGGACTGTTTTGCTGTCACTAACAACTACTTGCTTATCATTATTTAAAATCCTTCCCAACAACATTCCTATTGTTCTCAGTCAGACCTTTTAATATTCCTTGCTGAAAGTGTAACAAATGAGTACATAATGAAAACAACATAATGAACTAATAATAGGATGAATTCTCTCCACCCAAATGAAGATCTTATGCTTTTTTTCCAAACTAATGAATTCTGCAAAACAGGAAAACAAATAGTCTATTAAAGTATATATTTTTTTACTGAAGTAACATTGGCTTATAACACTATATATGATCACTTTCTCAGTCTACAGTTTAATTACTATGTTGAAAAATTAAGTTAGGGCCTTCCTGGTGGAGCAAGGAGTTAAAAGTGCAGCAGTATGAAGCTATCAACAGCCACTGCACCAAGAGTTCAATCCCTGGAGAAGGAGGGGACCCATATGGTGCAGCAGACCTCTCCTCTCTTGCTCCTGTCAGCAGTGTACTTCAGTCTGTCTCTATGAATCCTCTCACAGCCCCAACCCTGCACTTCTGGCCTTTACCACAGTTCTTTTTTAGACTACTTGTTAAGTTGCTTAATTTTTAAGTACAAAGATTGGTAAATAAGTGTGAATTTTGAATTCTGTTATTGTGTGTGGACCCTAAATGCATAATGATTTGAAATTCAAGATTTGTATAGGAATATATTTTGAGCCTTAGGCACAGGGAGAAAATTTAAAAAAAAAAAAAAGGCTTTTCTATTCCCAAAGGGAAGAGATTTCAGGAGGTAGGAGGGAAGTATACCAAAAGCAACTAGAACACACTATATACACCACCCCTACCTCAGTGTAATAAGTAAAGGTGAATATCAGAATATTCAATAATCATCTCTTATCCAAAATCTTCAGTATTCATTGTGAACAGCATGGGAAGTCCAACGAAAAGAATAAAATGAGCTGAACATGCCCTGTGAACAGATCATTCTAGCTGCTCACTGATGACCAAATAAAATTAGGGAGGTTAAATTTGAATGGTCACTATAATAGTGAAGGAAGGGTTGCTAATACTTAGACAAAAATATCAGCAGCAGAAATAGAAAGCTGGTTAGGTTTTTGTATACAAATATAATAGGTGAGCAGACATTGATTTGTTAATGGATTGCGTGGAGAATAAGAAAAAATGAAAGCAAGGTTAAGTATTAAGGATAATAACACCCTAAAAAAATTTAAGGATGAAACTATCAATAAATTAGAAGAGGATGACTACAGAACAGGTTTGGAACAAAAGATAAGAGAAAAAGCGAGAATCTTAAGTTTTGAATGTTATGCTGAATAATAACGTAGAGCTAATGATTAATAGGTAATTGGACTAATAAGTAAGAACAGTAAGCAGAAGATTCAGAATGCCAAAAGATACACATTTGGACATCACCAGTGGAATCAGTATATATAAAAAATACTCAAAGTGAGTCTTGATATATAAAAGATTACACAGTTAATTATGATACATGGATTTATAAGTAATAGCCCACATCAAATATCCCTTATCAAATTTTATATGACGCAAACAGTAAAAATTCTAGTAACAATTTAAATATACATTTTGAATTGGTAATAAATGAGAATACAACTACAAATTGTGGTAAGTCTATGAAAAATAATTACTGTCCTTAGATTGAGTAATCATGCACGTACTTAGAAAGCAACAAGCTTAAAATTACTCAAAACCTATAGTTTTAGATTTGAACAGAGATAAAAATCTTCACTATTACATAATTTACACACAAATCTGCATTTTTCACAGTTCTTTTCATTTTTCCTTAGTTTTCCATTTGTTAGACATGCACGAAGATTGCTACATGCAGAGTCAGTAAAAAAAAAGAAACAACTGGAATATTTTATGTAATTTTTAAAGTGAACATACCATTGAAAAATTTTTTATAGCCACACACAGGAAAAAGTATATTTTTAGTTCTAAGTAGGTTTTGTGAATGTCCAAACTTTTATTCAATCAAATTAATAGAAACATTCACAGTGAGACAAATCAAGTGTCAAAAATCTAGGTTCTTAATGATTTACTAACAACAACAACAAAAATTTTTAATTTTACTTCATCAGCAACAGTATTCTTGCTTCATATCTCAGCAACCCAATAAGGCAGTAATACCCTACTGAGTGACAATGTTATTTAATAAGCCAAATCATTAAAAGTTGATATTTGATTTATCAGATACAAGTATTCAGAGTATCCATCAAAACAAAACCTCCAATGTTTGTCCTTGGTGAAAAGAGAAAAGAACCTAGTAAGGCACATTACTGATCACAAGAATATTTATTCTACTTCACTGAAAAATTTGCTATATGTACAGACCTTAAAGTATACATAAACATGTTCCACAAACATCTTGACATTTCTTTAAGTAAAGGAATGCCACTTTACATGTGTATTTAAGATAGGGTTACTTAATCACACCTTTTAGATTGTTGGGAAAACTTAAACACTGAGGAGATATGTATTTTCCTAAGTATAAATTCCACATGAATCACAGTGTTACTTTTTATATGACTGTCAATATGAGAATAATTAAAGGTACTCATTATTTTGTGAGCAGATAGAAACTTACCTGAAATATAGATGACCTTTTGATCACTTCTTTGACCAAGGGAATTGGTCACTTTACAGACATAAACACCAGAATAATTGAAAGTCAGTGGATAGACAAAGTGAAGAGTATTGTCTGAAGCCAATAAACCATCAGGCCACTGTCCATCCAATCTAGATTTTAAAAAGCATGAAATTATAATAAATACCTTCAAACTCTAGTCATCAACAGCTATTTAAGAGTTTACTTTTTATATGCTCATAGTAGTAGAATCATATCTTTGATGCAGTTTTATACAATTCACTAAGGTAAAAGCATGTTATAAATTTTCATTTTAATCCAAGTGAACTAGTAGCTAAAGTCCATTAAGAATAACCATCCAGCCCTCCCTGGTGGCGCAATGGGTGAGGACGCAGCATTGCAAGCTGGCCGCAGCTGCTTCAGTGTGAGCTTGATACCCGGCCCTGGAGGTAAGCTACAAGGTGAATCAGACCTCTCCTGATCCACCCGCTGCTCCCCTCAGCAGTGTACTTTGTCGATCTGCCTAGTCTGTTCCCCACTCTGTCTCTGATAAAGTCTCTCACTGCCCCGTGCCTCTGACTTGTACCCCAGTTCTGTATGCATAAATAAATAAATCTTTAAAAAAAAAAAAAGAAGAATCCTTGAATAATCCTTGGATTTGACTCTGATGAAAAGGAAAACAAAACAAATGGAACTTGGTACAACTAAAAAGCTGCTACACAGAGGAAGAAATTTACATTATAAAGAAAATTACAGAACATAAAAAAGCATCTTAAGATTGGAAGATACTTGCAAAACATACACCTAACAAGAGTCAATATCATATACATACATACATACATACACACACAAACTTAAAAACAATGGGCAGAGGATCTGACAATTCCCTAATAAAACATATAGATAACCAATAGGTACATGAAAAGATATTCATCATATCTAATACTTAAGAAAACACAAGTCAAAACAACATGGCATCACCTCACACCTGTAAGACTTGCTACTATCCAGAGATAAAAAATAACAAATGATGGAGAAGTGGAAATGAAAGGAACTCATACACTAGTAGAGGGAAAACAAATTAGTACAATCATTAGGGAAAGCAGTATGGATTACTTAAAAAAGTGATAAGAGCTGGGACTCTGGTGGCAGCAGGGTTGAAGTCTCAGTGCTATCTATCAAGAGATCCTCAGCTACTGAATGCTTGAGTTCAAAAGCCCACCAGGGAATTAACCCCACACCGTGCAGCAGACCTCTCCTGTCTCACCCACTGTTCCCCTCAGCAGTATATTTCAGTCCATCTATTTGTTCTACTCCCCACTTTATCTATGGTAAATCCTCTTACCCCTCCCCTGTACCTCTGGCCTATACCCCAGTTCTCGTATGCATAAATAAATCTTTAAAAAAAAATTAAATCTTCATCCATCAAAAAATATCACAATATTAAAAATTAGTAAATCAGGACCCTCCCTGGTGGCGCAGCGGGTTAAAGCACAGCACTGAGAAGCTAAAGCCACTTCCGCATGAGTTCGATTCCCGCCTGCCCCAGAAGTGACCACATGGCGTGGCAGACCTCTCC